CATATCACTACTATGTCTACAGTGTGGAAGTTTATAATGATGTCTAGCACAGAGGCATCATTCCGCAAACATTTGGTATCATGTTCCATCCAGTCACATTATCCTGACACCAGGTCAACCAGTCCTAACACTAACCTCTTTGCTGAGCGCCTAATGAGGCAGCTGTAAATACCATTTTCAAAGTATTTGTTACAACTTACCCGGAGTTTTGAATCCGCGACCTCGCGCATCTGAGGTGGACGCTCTAAACCCTAGGCCACCGGAGCGGTCAGGAAGACAAGTATTCTTGTTACAATAGCTTACCATACTGTATTGTTACAAAAGCTTACCATACTGTATTGTTACAATAGCTTACCATACTGTATTGTTACAATAGCTTACCATACTGTATTGTTACAATAGCTTACCATACTCTATTGTTACAATAGCTTACCATACTGTATTGTTACAATAGCTTACCATACTCTATTGTTACAATAGCTTACCATACTGTATTGTTACAATAGCTTACCATACTGTATTGTTACAATAGCTTACCATACTGTATTGTTACAATAGCTTACCATACTCTATTGTTACAATAGCTTACCATACTGTATTGTTACAGTAGCTTACCATACTGTTTTGTTACAATAGCTTACCATACTCTATTGTTACAATAGCTTACCATACTCTATTGTTACAATAGCTTACCATACTGTATTGTTACAATAGCTTACTATACTGTATTGTTACAATAGCTTACTATACTGTATTGTTACAATAGCTTACCATACTGTATTGTTAAAATAGCTTACCATACTGTATTGTTACAATAGCTTACCATACTGTATTGTTACAGTAGCTTACCATACTGTATTGTTAAAATAGCTTACCATACTCTATTGTTACAATAGCTTACCATACTGTATTGTTACAGTAGCTTACCATATTGTATTGTTAAAATAGCTTACCATACTGTATTGTTAAAATAGCTTACCATACTCTATTGTTACAATAGCTTACCATACTGTATTGTTACAATAGCTCACCATACTGTATTGTTACCTACTTGTTGTCTCTCGTGTCATTTTGTGTAAAATAGCGTCCTAAATCACCATCCTTCAAAATGCACCGCTCTGAATGCCATTAAATTATGTACTGTACCGCTGTAATTATGATGAAATGGCGTGTACAGTGTAAATTATGATGAAATGTAGTGTACATTACATTCAGTACAAGCGTATTGTTCTTGCCATATTTTATATTAGAGACATAATCATTTCCCAACCTAAGGGGCTAATATTTTTAGAACAATGTCAGTTAAAATTATCATATATATGAATTTAGCAGTGCTCATTTTAAATGTCGGTCAAAAGCAATTTTTTAAAGGTGAAAACAAAGAACGCCACTTATTTATGTCTTTATAACTTCATCACTGATTTTTCCTTCGCTCATTTTAAGTTATGAAATCGTAGAATATGTTCATTATATGTGCATTTAAAATCTGCACCAACACCACCCTCCGTGACACCCATGTTAACATTATTATCCATTGTGATGTGTTTGGATGGAGAAAGCTTTTACTGCGAATATGCTCTTTTGTGCTAAACACTTTCTTACTAAATATATCTATCTAGCGTCATTTCGCTTAATGACTTTCTTCAGCAAAAACTTATAGGTGGGGATGAGTAACGAACTGATAAATGAAGAACTAGAGCTTAGAAAATTGTGGTCAAATCTAACACTGGCTTTGACCTTAGATTAATTTGTCTGAAGTAAGCTACGAAAATACAGTTGCTCCTGGGTAAATTAATTTAATTAAACATTTTTAAGGAGTTGGCTGAATAAATATGGAGTCCAAGAATGCATTGGAAAGTGATTTCAAGATATTTTGAGTACATTCTGGTTGGCAGAGAAGCGAGCAAACTATCACAAAACCTGCTATCAGAAGACACGTGACACTGGTCATTTGAGTAGGGCGAGGTAAAGATATACTGTAGTTGTTGAGAATCAACATTTTAGTCTTCGACAAGCAAGGAAAGGAAGAAAGCTCCTTGTCAACTTCTGCATCTGAGTCAATCCTTGAAGAAGTATCTAGATGACGTATTTTCCGTGTGACTAAACCACAACCTAAATATTATTGTGACTATTACAACACAATTAAAACATAATGTAGTTATGATTATTGGATTGTATCACAGTGTCAAAACATGAATAGAATCGAAACTAAATCACACTGATTTTTACCGTGACTAAATAAGAATGTGATTATGATCAGACAATATATATACTGTGGTTATGATTGGACTAAATCATAATGTAGCTATAATTATGACTAAATGACATGTTTATTACTTTTAAGTTAAATCCCAACGTGACCCTTATAGAACTAAATCATGGTTCTGACCATTATTTTCACAAAGTCACATCGTCAACATGTATAGGATAAAATTCCGGTATGATTCTGATTGTAATTAAATCCCAATGTGATTATTATTGTGACAAAATCACAAAGTAATTCATATAGGACTATATCACAATGTGATTAATATTGTGACTAAATTACAAGGTGATTATTATTGCGACCAAATTACAATCCGATTATTTTTGTGACTAAAACCCAATGTGATATTTACGTACACAAATGTATTGGGATAAAGGCATGGTTTTGTTTTATGAAAACAGACACACGCAAACACACACACATTGCCTCTCTCTCTCTCTCTCTCTCTCTCTCTCTCTCTCTCTCTCTCTCTCTCTCTCTCTCTCTCTCTCTCTCTCTCTCTCTCTCTCTCTCTCTCTCTCTCTCTCTCTCTCTCTCTCTCTCTCTCTCTCTCTCTCTCAGCTAAACACACTACTCTGAAAAATCTAATATTCTAGTAATTGGTAGATCAACTAATTGTTTCCCGTTACAGCATTTCATCACGTGTGGCAAAGTTACTTATCAAAGATGATGGCGATATGTTTATTTTTGTTTGTGCCATATTAAGATGTCAATATTTGTTAGATACTTTGTAAATCTCTGTATAAAGTGAATTGATACAGCTCAGCGTTCATTGAGAGATGTTCCTTGTCATACGAACTCTAGGGCGTTATCTCAGACTTGCATATGCCTTACTTGGACTTTGTAAACGTAACTAATGAAATTATTGTATATGATTTATGAAGCAATATAATTTAGGTAGGCATGTAGTTAGTTTCATAGGCATAAGTAGGTATGTAGCTAGGTACTTAGGTACAGTTAGGTATGTAGCTAGGTACTTAGGTACAGGTAGATATGTATCTAGGTACTTAGGTGCAGGTAGGTATAATATCTAAGTACTTAGGTACTGTTAGATATGTAGCTAGGTATTTAGGTACAGGTATGTATGTAGCTAGGTACTTAGGCATAGGTAGGTATATAGCTAGGTACTTAGGTACAGTTAGATATGTAGCTAGATATTTAGGTACAGGTAGGTTTGTAGCTAGGTACTTAAGCACAGGTAAGTACTGTGGCTAGGTACTTAGGTACAGTTAGGTATGTACGTACGTAAACTCCACCCACTTATCCATACATCCATTAGTCCATCAACACATAAGCACTGATCTACTTTTGTGTGAACACTATTGATCATATGCCATCACATGCAACTATTTTCCCATACTGACACTTATTTTACAATTGATATACAAACCACATCTTCGTCCTGTTTTTGCCTACCTGCCGTTCGTTATCAACATACCACAAACTGGCTAATGACCTCTGTCACACAAAACCATTCACCTTTCTCTAACTCTTCTACAATACTAAATGGTTGTGGTGGGGATTGGGTAAAATATTAGAAAATTTAAAGGTTGACCCGCATTTTAAACTATGTCTTATTTAGAACTCATTAGGAGGTATATTTAACCTTTTTAACCTTTGGAAGCATAAAGTCTGCCATATGTTAGCGTCACCCTGTTTTCTGTCCTAAACATTGGTAACCTTATCTTTTTAACGCCACATGCCACTACGCTCCCACATTGCCACATATTTTATAACTGACAAACATTAGACTTTTTCTTCCGGTTTTTGCCTGCCTGCCTTTCATTATCAACATAAGACAAACTGGTTAATGAACTCTTGACACACAAAACCCGCCAACATTTTATCACTGTCTTCTCCAATACTAAATATTATTGATGAATGATTTTCTTTCTCTTTTGTTTTTGTTTTAATGTACTATGTACGAAATGTATGCCAAATAAAAATCGATTTCTGTTAATTCCTTTGGTTTTCAAAACAGTAAAAGAAATTAAATGGAATGGGCTTATACTACATCTTCACAGAAGATGAATGACGTAAACACTGTAATATTTGTGCCTGCCTATATAAAGAAAACATAGAAAAGCAAAAGGAAAAAAGAAAGAAAATCCAAAGAATGATTGACATCCATCCATCCTTCCCATCCATCTCATCCATCACATCCATCCATCCATCCACACACACACATACACATACATACATACATACATACATACATACATACATACATACATACATACATACATACATACATACATACATACATACATACATACATACAGACATACAGACATACATACATAAAACCACACTGGTGACCTAAGTAGTTAGAACATTATCCTCGGATGAGAAAGTTCGCAGGTTCGAACCCTGGTCGAGATATACCAGATCTATTAAAATGGTACTATTAGCTGTCTTACTTGGCGCTCCTTATTAGGAGGTCAGTGTTAGGTTGTTCGGCCAGGTGTCAGGATAATGTACGACATGACTCAGCTTATTAATGCTACATTAAAGATATACATTTTTTAAATTTTTGACGTAGTTTTTTTTTTTAAAAAAGTTCAGTTCCATCTCTCATGATGTTTACAATGTAACAGCTCTGTCTAGACATGTAGCATCATGTCCCACCTAGTCACATTATCTTGACACCATGCCGACGAGACCTAGCATTAGCCTCTTACTGATGAGCGCTAGGTGAGGCAGCTGCCAGTGCCATTTTTATAAGTCTTTGATATGACTCGGTTGGGGTTCGAACCAACTACCTCCCGCATAGGAAGCGGACGCTCAGACCACTAGACGACCGGTGCAGTCTACATACATACATACATGCATGCATACATACATACATACATACATACATACATACATACATACATACACACACACACACACACACACACACACACACACACACACATACATACATACATACATACATACATACATACATACATACATACATACATACATACATACATACATACATACATACATAAACTTGTTACGGGACTGACGTCATTATGGTACTGACGGATCTATTTGGAAACAGAGATTTACCATTTATCGGACTTTGATACTGGATGCTAATTTATGCTGATTACCAGTAAATATGCTCTGGACATTCGTAGGTTCTATTTGCCACCGTATATCATCTAAATAATACATTCCTCTTGCCCTACTGGAGCTGATGTGTCCTAGAACTGAATCTTAGACAAAAGCTAGCCTTTTACATTAATTTCTTTTTCTAATATATGGTTACAATGACTTCTAAATTGCTCAAGCCTAACATAGTAGACAATTCATCAAAGAATATTAGTATATTATAAAAATAGGGAACATTTTTTTCCCAATTTAAAAAAAAAATTCAAAATCGTCGACGTTCACAATTTAAAGGAGTCAATAATTAGTCGCTTGCAAAACGTAAGGTATTGTTGAGATGAATGTCATTTGTTAAATTACGATTTCAGCAACATCATTCATACGCCAACGACAGCTGGTGAAATATCTGTAAAGAATGATGCCGGGTCCATAAGGTACGAAGATTTTGGCAACATCGTCTCTTTCTGCGACACTAGTATATGCCTTGGATGTATGTAAGCTCAGCAATTCAAGAAAACATTTTACATTTTGTTCGCCGAAAAATTTTTCGCAAAAAAAGAATGCCCATCACAGCTTTTCTACAACGGGAGGGCTGACCAAGACGCATATTGCATTCACAGCTTCTCCCTTGGTCTTTGTTACGTAAGTAACCAAGGTGGTCCGAATGACTGTCAAGGTAATCATGATTGATATTTCAAAATACTGTTGCCATGTCGTTGTTTTTAGCACAGAAGATGAGTTGATGCTTGTGGGATTACCAAGAGAAATAAATTTGATAATTCACTTAACACGTTTTATATTTTCATGTACGTGCTTTTATTTCTCACCAGAACATTTCATTTACGGCGCTGACAATGATTTGATGCAGCGGTAGCACGCCAACCTGTCACACAATAACACAACATTCGAATCTCGCTTCAAACTTAATTGATTTGTTTAGCCTTCTTATCTTGAATTAAGAAAGAGACTAATGTTGCTAATAATATTTTCTTTGCTAATGTGCACAAAACACAGCAGAACATAAACGGTCAACATCTCACATTACAGTCAGAAATATGTTGCATAAATATGTTATACATATCGCTAAGCAACACGTTTAAGCATAAAACAAAACGAAATTTCGCGTATTCTGAGTTAATAGCGTATGTAATTTTTCTCGTGGTTGAAAACAAATGTAATACAAGGGATATTTAAAAATATATAACAATTTTCTTCTACCATTTTTGCATAAAAATGTTGGATAAGAACAACTCTGCTACTGAGCAAAGAATATGCTGTAAAATGAATGCACATTTTAGGATTCTTTCTAGCTGATATAAGAACACATTTGGGGTGGGTGTAATTTTCTGGCATATACTATATTTCTGAGTTAGCGTGATTGCTTGAATGAGTGTCACAAATCCATGGAAGACGACATGTTTTGGAAAACAGTTGTCTGTGTTTGATAAGAGGGAAGTGACTGACGTAAAGGCGGCAGTTGATAAAGAATTCAATACAGATTGGAAAATATTTATGTAATCACGGTCAATAATTCCTCTCCTGCTTAAAACACTGGGATCATTTGAAACTGAGAAACGTCAGTGCAAGATGGGTGCCACATTCGTTGACGGCCAATAATTTTTTTTAAAAAAAAAACCTAACAAGCTACTCGCCAATTATCAGTTAAGTGGTATGAGACGTTTGAATGATATTGTCACATGATGAAACATGGATTTACTCATTGGGGCCTGACTCATGAGAAAATTATAAGGTTTGGATTGGAAAAACATGCAATGACGACAAATCGTTCGATGAGCATTATTTATTCAATGCAAAAGGTCTAGTCGTCAATAGACCTATGTCTGACTGCTAGCGTCACTAGAAATTTGTTTGCAACTAAAAACTGTTACCAAATATTGTAGAAACTAACCGATACCCAGTGTATTTTTCTACTTCATGATAAAACACCGAGGTATAAATGCGACGGATTTCTTAAAGAAGCATAGCATCCAAACATGGGCACGTCCACATTACCCTGATTTAACTCGAAGTGATTGTTTGCCTGAATCCCGGGTTGAAAGATTCCCCGAGGAGCAGACGATTTGAAGTGCATTTGTCCAGTGAATACAAAATGGCATATAATAATTGAATATTCAGATTGAGAAAGGCAAGGGGAGTGCTAGAGATGATACACTGGCGTACTGTTACTACTACATAACTTTGTAATACAGCGCTGTAACATTCGGAGACTGTTTAAATACCATCAAACATCCGCTATTCATTCAACACAAGTAAAAAATGTATATTTTCCCCATAACTACTTTGTGCGTGTGTGTGTTTGTGTGTGTGTGTATATGTGTGTGTATGAAAGAGAGAGAGAGAGAGAGAGAGAGAGAGAGAGAGAGAGAGAGAGAGAGAGAGAGAGAGAGAGAGATTTAACGTAGCTTTAACAAATTTTTATGTCATATCGCTATGTCTGCAGCGTAACAGTTTATTGTCTACTATAAATTATACCATAACTACTTGCAAAGACGAGTTTGTCCAGAATTACAGAGTGGCTTCCTGTAACTGCTGTTGTTTTCGAATACTTGTCATACACACATATATTCAGACAAATTTCGATCTATTCGCCCATAAATGGGTCAGTTGTCAAAAAAATGGGTCGGTGGGTTATGCAAGTAGACAGAACAAAGTGCGAAGATTTAATATTTTGTGATAATTACTCTTTGGATTGGCTTTGGATAAAGGTTTGTTCTCCTCTCAGCATTTTGCATGTATACAGCTAGCACACTATTAGAAACACACATTTTTATCTCTCTGTCCATAGAACACAGTATAATATCATGCTGATGAAACATATCCTTGTCCATAATGGCATCGTAAACATATTTGAATACAATATATTATATTTTTCAATATTAGCTTAAACTATGAGTCTCTTAACATTCCACGCCATGACAGCTTTACCTCAAATCTTTCTGTTTTTGTTAATAAATCAAAAATCTATTTCTTGTTTACACGAGCTATCTTTGTTTAACTGGTCATAGTTACACAAAGAAAACAACATGGTAGCTAAATGACAAATTTAAGGAGTACAATAACCATTTCAGAATTTATTTATTGAAGAAAAAAGTTCGTGTTTGTTTGCCTTTCTCTCCATAAATATTGAGTCCAATTTCTTGATTTTTAAAGTAACAATGATTTTATTGTAATACTTATTAGAATCGATTAAAATGTCTATACAACTACACGCACAAGATCCAGTTTTATTGCTTCTCTTCGGTATAGCTGACCATATCAGTTCCGTTCCTGTAAATATTCTCCTACATTATTAAGTTAAATGGACGCCGTGTTTATATTGGAATTGGTAAAATATTTGATTTTCTTTGGTTCCATGTTTTGTTATTGTTAATTCGATCACATTAGATATAAGAGAAAAGACCGCTGTCCTTGCAAAAAGCAATATTAGTGAGTCACAGTCTTGTGTTAGAAATAGTAACTTAAATTAATTCAGTTCTGTTTTCTTTTTCAGGTAATGATTTTGGAAATAGAATGGTAGAAGACCAGCCTTGTGAAATGTGCATAGAAAGTGAAAGTACTTGCCACCCAATTCAAGCACTCAGTTGTGTACCTTTATACTAACATTTGTTCAAGTCATTTGTTTTCATAAAAATATAATTTTATAAATACACATAAGAATGGCTTTAATATATGTGAGACAACATACTCAAAGCCTTCGTAAATAAGCCCATCAGCTCATATACAGTTGGATTAGGACCGCTTCGTAGATATCGTATACTATCAGATAGATAGATAGATAGATAGACAGACAGACAGACAGACAGACAGACAGACAGATAGATAGATAGATAGATAGATAGATAGATAGATAGATAGATAGATAGATAGATAGATAGATAGATAGATAGATAGATAGAGCTATAAAAGATATTGATGATTTAAAAGGTAAGGTTTAGTTCAAATCAAGAACTGTAAGACAAGAAAAAGTGTGTTCATTGTTACTACTTTACAGGGACAACGGTTACAAATCACATCATGTTGCTTTAGCTCAGTTCATGAGTACGATACCATTAGCTAAAGTTATTATTCAATCCTAGCTAATTTTCACATCTAACAAAGTCCTTCCTAATAAATTCGCCTACATCGATTATCCCAACTACAATTACCACTGTCCAGGATTAAAAGGAGCAGCGTCCTAATTTGACATTTGCCGGGCATGCTCTTGTTGCTTCTATATTATTACAAAGTCAGGCCACATTAAACTCTCTTGTCTTACCATTCTTCTTGTTGCTTCTATATTATTACAAAGTCACGCCGCATTAAACTCTCTTGTCTCTCCATTCCTCTCAACCACGAGGATGTATGAATTATTTTGTTGTTGAGCTTGACGAAAACCCTCTTGAATTGTGTCCATGATAAATGTAAACAACAGTCTCCAAGTCAGTGACGTCACTTCATCAAATTTGCTTTTAAGTTCTTCCTTCCAAACTAACATCATAGATTCTGAGAAGTAACGAAAATATTCCTCTTTAAAGTCCATGAAAGTCGTGTGCTGTTTCCCAAGACCAAGGAGTAGAGGCACGAGCGCGTCGTCCAAATTGTCAATATTATCAATGGCTGCGCCGACAGCTTGCATGAATCTAAAAGCATGCGCTTTGAAACTGGGATCTTGCAAAAGTGCTTCGCCGTTAATGTATCTGAATGGAAACAAC